ATACTACACTGTTTCATTTATTACTTTGGTTTTCACAATTGTATTTTGAAGTAATTTTATTTAAAAATTAAGTTATTTATATTGAGTTGCATATGCTAATACATACAATACCGTAACCAATTGTGGCATTAGAAAATATATAATGGATTAAACTTAAAATTTACTTTTTTTTAATTATTTTTGTAATAATATTTTATTATTTTGAATAATGCATATTTTCAATTAAACAAATTGTAAAAATTCTGAAATTCAAATTCAATATTTCCAAAATTATTGAATGTTATTTATGAAGAAATGTGAATCACAATCATGATTTCTTATAAAGATAAACATAAGGTTCAATATTGTAACATACTTTGGTTATTATAGTGGCACTAATAAATAACTAATGAGTTATAAAATATGTATACATATTTGTTCAATTTACTCCTTATCTTCATGATCTATAATAATTTTTATATATTGTTTTTCCAACTGTTAATGTTCTATATATTTATATTGGTTCTGAGTTCAAATAAGAAACTGAAAGGTCAAGAAAATAAATAGGCTTAATTGCTAATAAAATCATGACCTTTTCGAAAATTGGAATTTTATGCACCACTTTTTAACTTGGCAAAAATATGCACCACTTTCATTAATGTTTGCAAATTTATGACCAGGGCCCAATTTCGGGCTTTTTTAATCGATGTGGCATTATTTTACCACGTGTATTCGGTTTTTTCAAGTTAAAACCAGAAATGGGCTTCAAATTGCCAGAAAAATCACAACCGGAAACATTTAGCGACTCGAGATTCGTTAAGTTGGAAAACCAAGAAGGAAAAGCAACACCCTGAAAATCATTGTGCGAGAGATCGAGAGAGTTGAGATTCCCAAAAGACGAGAAATGGGTGAAGCTGCTAAACCTATTATAGGAGAGATTGACCCTTTGGACCGACGAGTATCCCAACAAACCCGGTTTAACAACCCCAACCGCCCCGCCGAGCCGGTTCCTCGACAGGTCGACCTCGAGGAGGGCGGGGAGGGACCAAATCGTAAGGGAGACGGAGCCGGCCAGGTAATTGTCGGAGAGATCCAACGCGCGGAGGCGCGTGAGGTTGCAGAGGTGCTTCCACGCGACGGCGCCGGTGAGATTTCACGACGGGAGGATGATTTCGTAGACGCGGGGGGTCGAGCAGTTGGGGTGGGTGAGCCAGGAGGCGTTGAAGTTGGCGACGACGGCGAATGCTCGGGAGACAGCGGCGTGGTCCGAGCCCTCTCCGCTGCAGGTTGAGGATGAGTGGGTTAGGGAGATGAGGGAGAGGATTAGAAAGAGTTTGATGACGGTTTTCATGGTGGGATTTGAGGAATTTTCCTGCGGCTTTTCGGTTTTTTGGCGTGAATGAGAGAGAATTTGGGCGGATCTGAAAAAATAATGCCACATCGATTAAAAAAGCCCGAAATTGGGCCCTGATCATAAATTTGCAAACATTAATGAAAGTGGTGCATATTTTTGTCAAGTTTAAAGGTGGTGCATAAAATTGCGAAAGGTCATGGTTTTATTAGCAATTAAGCCAAATAAACATGATCATTGGAATTAGAAGTAAACAACTTGGTGCCAGAATGGATATGTTAATCACTTTATTAATTTGTATAACTAATTTTTTGGTGAT